ACCACAAAATTTTGCTGAATAAATCTTATCTAAAATGTACAAAATATGGTGAGTCTCTTCTTGTGATTTATCATTCCATTCAAATTTTTTCGATTTGCATATACAGGGTGACTCAAAAAAATTAATGAATGCGTAAATTTATTTTATTGATTTAATCAGGAACTACAAAACCGAATGCTTTGAAATCTTGCAGATGTTTTAAGGTTATAAAGAGCGTAATAAATTTTTAGTCAAAATATATTTGGTTATCTTCTACAAAAAACTGATGACGTCAGCTCAAAAGTTTGCCGAATAAATCGTATCTAAAATGTACACAATATGATGAGTCTGTACGTGTGATTTATCATTCCATTCATATTTTTGGATTTGCATATGCAGGGTGACTCAAAAAAATTAATGAAGGCGTGAATTTATTTTATCGATTTAATCAGGAATTACAAAACCGAATGCTTTGAAATCTTGGGAATATTTTAAAGTTATTATAAGCATGGTAAACTTTTGTTCAAAATGTATTTGTTCATCCCTCCTAAAAAAATTGATGACGTCACCCTTAAATTTTGCTGAATAAATCCTATCTAAAATGCAAAAAATATGATGAGTTTGTACTTGTGATATATCATTCCATTCATATTTTTTAGATTTTCTTAAGAGATGGTTCAAAAAAATTAATAAAGTCAATTTTTTTTATTGATTAAATTAAAGGCAACACTTATTATTAGGATTACACCCCAACCAACCCAATTTGGTAGACACAAAATTTCTTAAAGGAAAAACTCGGTTGAAACATAAGGGAGCACGCTTATTTACATTACATTTTACTTTAACATTACAGACCTGCATTTGTTTTATGCGCCCACTTGGTTCCGCGAATGTGAAATAGACATGTTTATAATCAACCAATTGTGAATTTCACCGTCAAGAATTAAAATAAAACCCAATGTTTTATATAATAAGCGGAAGTCGAACCAATAAAACCGATGGTCGTTTTGTTTACAGTTTCTCTGTTTGACTCTCACGTATGCTGTTACGCCTGTCATCTTAAATTAAGAATGTTTATACATGCACGATTTTCAGTTGCCTCTGATACGTATACGTGAGTAAATTGTTTCGTTATTTTATTGATTATTACAAATCAATATTCAAAACGACCCAATTCATTTTCCCGAAAATTTGAGAATATAATAATTTTATTCTTAGTATTACACTACATCTATCCCAACTGATATACGTGTCCTTGCAAAAATGTTGATGACGTCATCGCAATTTTTTTTTAAATTCCCACTACAAAAATGTAATGAGAAAAAAAACACAATAGGCATGTAGTCGTCAAGTTTCCGACAGCGAGGGAAGTACTGTCTAAACTCTTTAGACCAATTTTTATTATTAGCTTATAATATCTATGAAATGGAATATGTACATAAACGACCCCATAACAACCAGGGCGGATGAGAGGGTGTTATAAATCGTAGTAGCCTCTAATTTTTACATAACTTTATTGTAACTAAAGGCTGATTTATAAGGTAGATTGACATGCTATAGACACACGCACTGTAAAAACATCAACAATACATTTTTACTTCCCGAGCGTGAGTGAAGTCTCTCGTTTCCGAATGTCTGTCCGTCTGTTTACCATCTCGATATTTATTAGACAAATAATCTCCGACAGTACTAGACCGATTGTTGTCAAATTTTGTATTTTTGTATTAAGAATATCATGTGGATAGTAAAACGCTAATCAAAATGTGTCTAATCAGTAATCATCCCCACCAATAATGTGATGATGTCACTTCAAAATTGTACATAGTAAATGGGTTTTAAATTGTTTAAAATAACATAGTCCTACACATGTAGTTTATGACTCTGTGTTGAAAAAAAATTAAAATTATAAAACAACATTTTGCAATTTTATTTTGAATCTGTAAAACTGAATACTTTGGAATCTTGCAGACGTTTTGAAGTTGTTCTAAGCATGGTAGCTTTTTAATCAAATTATATTTGCTTATCCCCTCTCAAACAATTGATGACGTCATCTCACAATTTTGCCGAATAAATCTTATCTCAAATATGCAAAATATTATGACTCTAAACTTGTGATTTATCAATGCACTCATAGTTTTTAGAATTATATATGTATATAGAGGGTGAGTCAAAAAAATTAATGAATGAGGCAATTTACTGTATATTGATAAAGTCAAGAATGACTCTCTCCATTTCCCCGAAAATGGGACAATACAGTACTGTTATTAATTTGCATTTATCCACATTGATAAACGATCCTAATAAATATTGATAACTTTAGCACAAAATTTTGTATTGGAAAAACTCACTTAAAACAAACGCTTATCACAATTTTAACATTTTTACTTCCCGAGCGTAAGCAAAGGAAGTATTGTAATCGAGTCCGTCGGCCGACTCTCTACTTTTACGTTTTCTCGATCTTTCATGACCCCTAGAAGACGAAGAAATAGGTCTCCCATTTCCGTCTGTCTGTCCGTCTGTCCGTCCGTCTGTCCGTCCGTCTGTCCGTCAGTTGTCCCGGATTTTTATTAGACAGATAATCTCCGAAAGTACTCGACCGATTGTTGTGAAATTTTGTACTTATATTAAGAATATCATGTAGATGGTAAAACGCTAACCAAAATTTGTCTAATCATCCCCACCACTAATGCGATGACGTCACTTCAAAATTGTACATAGTAAATGGGTTTTCAATTGTATAAAATAACATAGTCCTACACATGTAGTTTACAACTCTGAATCGACTTTTCACCCGAAACGTCCAGATTTTTGGAAAAAAAATCAAAATTATAAAACAACATTTTGAAATTTAATTTTTAATCTGCTAACCAGAATGCTTTGAAATGTTGCAGATGTTTTAAGGCTATAAAGAGCATCATAAATCTTTAGTCAAAAAATATTTGCTTATCCCCTCCAAAAACTTGATGACGTCAGCTCAAAAGTTTGTGGAATAAATCATATCTAAAATGTACAAAATATGATGAGTCTGTACTTGTGATCTATCACTCCATTCATATTTTTTGGATTTGCATATACAGGGTGACTCAAAAAAATTAATGAATGCGTAAATATATTTTATTGATTTAATCAGGAACTACAAAACGGAATGCTCTGACATCTTGCAGATGTTTTAAAGTTATAAAGAGCATAATAAATGTTTAGTCAAAATATATTTGCTTATCCCCTCCAAAAACTTGATGACGTCAGCTCGAAAATTTGCCGAATAAATCATATCTAAAATGTACAAAATATGATCAGTCTGTACTTGTGATCTATCACTCCATTCATATTTTTTGGATTTGCATATACGGGGTGATTCAAGAAAATAAATGAAAGCGTAAATTTATTTTACTGATTTACTCAGGAACTACAAAACCGAATGCTTCGAAATCTTGAAGATATTTTAAAATTATCATAAGCATGGTAAATTTTTGATCAAAACGCATTTGGTCGTCCCCCCTAAAAAATTTGTGACGTCACCACAAAATTTTGCTGAATAAATCCTATCTAAAATGTACAAAATATGGTGAGTCTCTTCTTGTGATTTATCATTCCATTCAATTTTTTTCGATTTGCATGTACAGGGTGACTCAAAAAAATTAATGAATGCGTAAATTTATTTTATTGATTTAATCAGGAACTACAAAACCGAATGCTTTGAAATCTTGCAGATGTTTTAAGGTTATAAAGAGCATAATAAATTTTTAGTCAAAATATATTTGGTTATCTTCTACAAAAAACTGATGACGTCAGCTCAAAAGTTTGCCGAATAAATCGTATCTAAAATGTACAAAATATGATGAGTCTGTACTTGTGATTTATCATTCCATTCATATTTTTTAGATTTTCTTAAGAGGTGGTTCAAAAAAATTAATGAAGTCAATTTATTTTATTGATTAAATTAAAGGCAACACTTATTATTAGTATTACACCCCAACCAACCCAATTTGGTAGACACAAAATTTGTTAAAGGAAAAACTCGGTTGAAACATAAGGGTAGCACGCTTATTTACATTACATTTTACTTTAACATTACAGACCTGCATTTGTTTTATGCGCTCACTTGGTTCCGCGAATGTGAAATAGAGATGTTTATAATCAACCAATTGTGAATTCCACCGTCAAAAATTAAAATAAAATCCAATGTTTTATATAATAAGCGGAAGTCGACGCAATAAAACCGATGGTCGTTTTGTTTACAGTTTCTCTGTTTGACTCTCACGTATGCTGTTACGCCTGTCATCTTAAATTAAGAATGTTTATACATAAACGATTTTCAGTTGCCGTATACGTGAGTAAATTGTTTCGTTATTTTATTGATTATTACAAATCAATATTCAAAACGACCCAATTCATTTTCCCGAAAATTTGAGAATATAATAATTTTATTCTTAGTATTACACTACATCTATCCCAACTGATATACGTGTCCTTGCAAAAATGTTGATGACGTCATCGCAATTTTTTTTTAAATTCCCACTACAAAAATGTAATGAGAAAAAAAACACAATAGGCATGCAGTCGTCAAGTTTCCGACAGCGAGGGAAGTACTGTCTAAACTCTTTAGACCAATTTTTTTAACGGTTATTAATTCTGATTCTGATGTTGCAGTTGCTCAGTTTTGGTCATTATTGTGAAAATGTAAGACATGCATATGTCACAAAATATCACTACTAGTATCACCTAATATATCCACTAATTAAAATGACGAAACGAACGTCAAGCTTTTTAAGTACCGACTTAATTACACTTGTAAATATACATTGACAATGCCATCTAAAATGTCTTCGTTGCGACAGTTATGCAACTTTAACAGCGTAACAACTGCATGCGTAATGATATTATTTACAAGTGTAATGGCATCCAAAATTAAGTAAGGCGCTTGAGGTATTCAAATTTCCGTGGTGTGCAAGTGACACAATCTCCAACTAACCGTATTCAGATTAATTACACCGCCTGTCATAAGTTAAAGACCTACTGACCTGTAGAGAGGCCGTCATAGCCGACATAACTTCATAACCGTATTCCCAAGGGTGATTGGGCTCTGGTCTGAAAGGGGTTAAAAGGAAGTTCAAGCCCAGTAGAGGCACCAGAAGCATTGTGGCCCTGAAAAAAAGCACACGGATTTTTATAAACTTCATTAGCATGCGAACCGGAGGAGTCCCTAAAATTAATCGAGAAGTATGCCGCCGACTTGTAAAAAATTATAATTCTATTGAGCGAAACGAATTGGTTTCGTGCTGTTAGGGGATAAATTCCCAATGAAATTACCTGAGAGCTTGTAGCGAAGTTCGGGAAGCACCAGATCCTGTTCCGCCATTAGCAGGACCCCTTCTCAATTTGATTAAGAGAACTCTGACAATGTTGACCAGGAATATCACGTTGAGGAACACGGTAATGACCACTGGCACCATGAGGATTATGTTGAAACGACCGTCTTGAATCCAGCATCTGTAAAAACGGATAATTAGTTAGAAGGTTAGGGGGTTAACTGTACATAGTTCTGCTTTATAAAACACGTTGCAAACGGTAATAGAAAATTTAATTGACACGAAAGAACTGAATGAATGAGAATTTCGAGTTCAGTGAATGCAAATTATTCTCTTATTTATCATTCAGTTAGTGTTCCCAAGTAGATTGGAAATCGGTTATAATAATTTAACATTTTACAGTAAATTGAGGTTTTTAAGTGAATAAGATAATAAAAATATTGTTGGTCGAAGGTTATTTCGATATAACTTCCCTCGCTTACAAAGTAGAATCGATCGATAACGGCTCCTTCGAATAATTATAAAATTTAATTTAGCAAATTTTATTTTCTAATGGTTAATCCTATAAGTTAAAATAATGATTTGTGTATAGTGAAAAAATACAGGCAAAGGAGCATGCTATCCCTATGTTTCAAATGAGTTTTTCACTTAACAACATTTTGTCATCATATTTAGGTCAACATTTTATCAAGGACACGTATGTACATCAATTTAAGTAGGCGCAGTTTAATACTAATAGTAACAGCATTTGTTAATTAATTGTTGTGTAAATACTTAATTTTAAAAACTGTCAATGAATTGATAAATCACAAGTAAAGAGGAATTATTATTCAGCACAATAAAAAAAAAAAATGCGGTTATTCAATTTTGATTTTTTTTCCAAATCTGGATGTCTAGGATAAAAACTTTCCACGGCGTTTTACCATCTACACGATATTCCCAGCATATATATAATATTTGAGAACTACCGATCCAATAGTTTCTGGAATTATCTATCCCTCTAAAAAAAAAAAAAAAATTGACGCATACGACAAGTGACAGACAGACAGATAGAAACGGGAGACCTGGGTTTTCGTACTCGGACGGCCATAAACCGTCGAGAAAACTTGCAAATAGTAATTCTTCAGATGGACTCCATTACAATCTTACGCACAGGAAGTAAAAATCAGTAAAATGCACACTGTTTTCGGTGACGGATTTAAGCAAGCTTAGGTGCCGATGTCTTATTTACGCTCCTCCTTTATTATGAATTATTTTTTGATGTTTTTACTTCTCAAGCGTGAGCTAATGAAATATTGTAATCGAGGTCATCGGACGACTGGTTACTTTAACATTTTCTCGACGTTTCATGACTCTTAAAGTACGGAAAAATAGGTCTTTTGATTCCGTATGTCCGTCTGTATGCCTCTCTCTCTCTCTCTCTCTATCTGTCTGTTCGTGTGCCGGTAGTCCGGATTTTTATTTAACAAATAATCTACGGAACTACTCATCAAATGTATCTAATCTTGGGTAACACAAAATTTCATATCATATGTTATCACAAATATTGAAAGATAAAATATCCTTGGATGTTTCTCGTGCTGGTCGGAGTTATCTTTATTTTTATCAACATTTTTTAACTTTTCAATTTCCGCCTTCAACGAGGTAATTTTACGAATAATGGTTATGATATCAGATTTCTCAGAAAAATATTTCATTCCCCTATTCTTATTCAATAAACATATTTTTTCTGCCTTCGATATTCCGCCAAAATGAATTGAATACATATGACACATAGTACACAGAAGACCTTCGGTTTCACAAAAAACTTTATCACACATGTTACACGGACGACTAAATGACATTTTCAAGTAAAATTTAGTTTTTAGATTAAGACGTAGCGATATATTCGGTATTATTTGTAGTAAGTACAATTTGTCTGAGATCAGTAAACCGCTTACCGTTCGTGATGCTTATACTATTTTGTGTACGAACGACAACAACAAAATTCTAGCATTCTATCATGATTTAGTGGTAAAATGTTTTTATACTGTGTTAGTTTTTTTGTGAACATTTGGGAAAAAGTCAAACAGGATTCGTACACCACAAGTATAGGAGTATATCACTGTATAACAATTAATTCATTTTAAAATAAAATTATTTGAAATGATATCATCAAATTGTTGTTGGGGATGATTACCCAAATTTTGGTTAGCGTTTTAGTATCTACGTGATATTTCTAATATACTTACGAAATTTGACAACAATCAGTCTAGTATTTTCGGAAATTACGTGTCTAATAAAAATCGACACAGATGCCATACACAGAGATAGACAGACAGACAGACGGAAATGGGTGACTACTTTTTTCGTGCTCTAATGGTCATGACACGTCGAGAAAGCATAATAGTGGCCAGTCGTCGGATTTTTATTAGACAGATAATTTTCGAAACTACAGAATCATTGTAGTAAAATTTTACATGTATGTTAAGAATATTGTGCATATGGTAACATGCTAACTAAAATTTTTCTAAAATGACGTTATCTCCAATTTATACAACAGTAAATATTATTTAATTTTTATAAAACAGCATACACCTCCAGTAGTAGTTTATGAATCCGTGTTTAGTTCTTACCCTAGGCGTCTAGATTTTTGTTGTCAGCTCCGGTTATTATAAGCTTAAATTCTTGCATAAGTTTAAAGATGTCCTAGCAAACACAGTCAAATGGTAAATTTGTAACTCGCTATTTCTAAGTAGGGTTGATTATTGTATTAATGTCTACTTTATAGTATTTGACATTACTAGTATGGTAAAAGGGTTTTTACTGGCGGACAGAAGGATACCTTTTTGGAGCCAGTAAAAACCCGTTACCTTGCGTGTATTGTTCAATATTTTATTTGTTTCTCACTTGTAAATAACTACATACTATAAATTATTAAAAACTCTAGAAGGTCCAATATTTGAAGAAACATCGTATGAGCTTTAGACGTATTGCCTTGGAAACGCACGTCAGCATGGCACTTGTCATAGCATTTACTGTGTTGTCTAGTTCTGTCTTTTAGATTTTTCGATTTATCGTTTTCGATGTATTGAAATGAGTGTGGCGCAAGCTATATTACTGAGGAAGCAGCAATTGTGAGTGAAAATTTACCTTGCTGTCATTTCAACTTATAATAGCTTAAAATGTTTAAAATACATGGGTGTATGAGCACGAGCAGGGCTGTAAAAATTTTACTGGCAGCCAGTAACATTTTCTACAGGCTATAGCCAGTTAAGTGACATTTTCATGTTGAATATAGTGACTTGGTAAGTAGTCTACAGATCACATGTAACTCCGTACTTTAATGAAAACAAACTTTTGAAAACTAAAGGTAGAGCCCTATATTGTGTTTTTTTCTTTTACCTATTTATAAACAGGTAACCAACAGCTTTTCTAACACATGGTTAGATTTGTAACACGTCTGATGAACGGACAATAGACCCTGAAACCGGTAACACAACAATAAAAAATTGGTCTAAAGAGTTTAGACAGTACTTCCCTCGCTGTCGGAAACGTGACGACTACATGCCTATTATGTTTTTTTTTCGTATTACATTTTTGTAGTGGGTTATTTTAAAATAAAATGAGTATTAATATTTTCGATTTTGTCATTATTTGGCATTGACATCTTTGTAATTTTTTTTTAATGCTATAATTGCTTATTAAAAAAAAATTAAATTGGACGAAGTCGTCTCTGGGGTGTATAATATGTTGCCTATGCAAAAATTGTCAGGCGTAAACAGATAACAGGAACACCCTGTATAGTACTTGTAATTTAAGACAAATACGTCTGCAAGATTTCAAAGTATTCAGTTTCGCAATTCTTGATTTAATCAATAAAATTAATTGACTCAGTCATTTTTTTTCAGACACCCCATATAAGCAAATCTAAAAAATAGTAATGCAGCGATAAATTACAAGTATAGACTCATCATTCTTTACACATTTAAGTTTTTTTTAGCAAAATTCTGCGGCGGCGTTATCAAATTTTTAGGGGGGAATGAGCAAATACAATTTCACCATGCTTATAAATTTAAAATATCTCCAAGATTTCAAAGCATTCGGTTTTGCAGTTCCTGATTAAATCAGTAAAATAAATTCACGCATTCATTAATTTTTTTGAGTCACCCTGTATATGCAAATCCGAAAAATATGAACAGACTAATCATATTTTGCACATTTAAGATAGGATTTATTCGGCAAACTTTTGAGCTGACGTCGTCAATTTTTTGGAGGGGAAGTAAATATATATTGATTACAAATTTATCATGCTTATCATAACTATAAACCATCTGCAAGATTTCAAAGCATTCGGTTATGCAGATTCAAAATTAAATTGAAAAATGTTGTTTGATAATCTTGATTTTTTTTCCAAAAATCTGGACGTTTCGGGTAAAAACTCAATTCGGACTCATAAACTAGATGTGTAGAACTATGTTATTTTATACAATTTAAAACCCATTTACTATGTACAATTTTGAAGTGACGTACGTCATCGCATTAGTGGTAGGAATGATTAGACAAATTTTGGTTAGCGTTTTACCATCTACATGATACTCCTAATATAAGTACAAAATTTCACAACAATCGGTCCAGTACTTTCGGAGATTATCTGTCTAATAAAAATCCGGGACGGCAGACAGACGGACAGACGGACAGACAGACGGACAGACGGACAGACAGACGGACAGACGGACAGACAGACGGACAGACGGACAGACAGACGGAAACGGGAGACCTATTTCTTCGTCCTCTAGGGATCATGAAAGATCGAGAAAACGTAAAAGTAGAGAGTCGGCCGACGGACTCGATTACAATACTTCCTTTGCTTACGCTCGGGAAGTAAAAAGTAGCAGAGAGAAAGACGTTTTGATACATTACATCAAAACAAATACCTCTTAAAAGGCCGCCAACCTTTTTAAGTTTTAGTGACTGCAAGAATGAATTTCAGTGACAAAAGAAATACTGTTAGCTGTTTCTAGCAATCTGGAATCTTTACTACAGTTGCTTCTACAGAATAGTCCATAAAATATTTGTGTACTTACAACTATATTTTGCTGAATTTTTACTAAAACCTCTAATTAGGTATTCTTTGCTTTGTTCTAAATAATGAAAACTCAGGGTAAATCAGCTCAAAGTTCAATGCAGAAAGAAAGAAAC